CTAAGTCTTCCTACCAATATGACCATGTTGCGAAAACAAGGTCAAACAACTTCTATACAACGAAAGGAGAGTGCGATCACACAAAAGGTCACACCATCTTGGTCTTAATACCTTCGATCAAAAAATAAGAAAATTGAATAAGAACCAGCTAGTAAATGATGAGGGAAAAAAGAGATAATAATGAAAAAAAGTAAAAAAAGGAAGTCAAGAATAAGGGGTTAAAAGTTGATATAAGTTTTAACATAGTTCAGCTTCATGCTAAAGAAAAGTACCAGTAAATTAGTCCCCTATATATTCAAAGTAAGGTAGATTTTCTAAAGTTTTAACCACTTAATGTGATCCACATATTATCTCCGACGTATTAATAGAATGAATGCGAGTGAAGGAGTTGTAGTTGCTACTTCTAGCGTCACGTATGAACTACACCAAGCTGAACATAAACCTTATTAGTATCCACGGCATGACTATGTAAAGTTAAAAATAACGCTTTTAAGATTTACGGCTTAGACGAAAACGCTAATTCATGACTAAGCGAGTAAGAATAGTCTAATAGGTAAAACGACAAAAGAAATGTAATGAAAATATGGCAATTAAGGGTAGGTTTAAGTATAAGAACACCGCAAAAAAAGCAATGTTTTGTTAAAAAAAAATTAATTTCAACATCGAAGAAGCAGAAAGAACAGATGAAGCGAAATTAGGAGTATGACTTATAAAATAATTTTACTATCCCAACAAATAACTAGGAATTTTAGATACAATTCATAGTTGAGACAGTCGTTGGCCAACCCTGTGTCCAGAAAAAAATCTTACCCTCTTTTGCCCGAACAATACATCCCTCCAGTATTTCAGTCCAAGTTAACCAGACGGTTCTAATTTATTAATTTCGGTATGTGCAGTTGTGGTAAATCTTCTGGTTAGGCATTGCTGTAATAAATCTCGCCCATGCTTAAACTCATGTACTGTGAATCAAGCTAAATTATGCTTAATTCGACATTCTTTATCTAACCTTAAGCGACCTAGGGTGGTAAGGTTTTTATTTTAATAATCAATATCAAAATCAAAAAGTTAATTAACTGTTTCATATATTTTTAGTCATTTAATTAGTTGGCAAGTTCTGATGCCCTGGCTAATATAAATAAAAACTCAAGTGGCTGGAAAAATAATTTTTTGACACGTTTTGTTTGAGAAGTAAAAGCGCTTACGTCTTAATACCACGAACCAAAAGCGAGGCCCATGGTTGATGCATGCTGAGACAAACAGCCTTGTCCTCCATTTGCTGGACAGCATCGTCCTGAAGACGTAAAGTTACAACACTAGAATCAATTGATGTTTTGGGCATCTTTCCGTGAACGAAATTTCGGAGCAAAGCAGGCTGGGTGGGCAGGAACTAGCGGTGTAAGTAGGAACGATGGATAGATGAGAAAGATAGTGCCAAAAGGGAGAAAGACAAAAATAGGAATGAAATTAGCACGTTGAAGGGAAGGTGAATGCTATTCGGAGAATGGTGCTATCGATATTAAGGCCGAAAAAATAATTTAGAAATGAATAAAAATCCAAGAAGAGAGAGTTATGAGCGAGAGCATTTGTGATTTTGTGATGCCTTGTAATAAAAGCAACATTTGCAGTTCTTAAACAGCCTAAAGCGCTGGGGTGAAAATGAGCAAGCGGGATCAAGATATTAAAAAGTATAGTAAAATGTACGTGTTTAGTCGATATAACCTCATTTTCGCAACTTTGTCGGGGCGACAGGGAAGCCCCGTGAACGTACCTAGTAAGGCGTGCACTTCCATAATAGCTATTAAAATTGAGAAAGCCCCATACGTTTCGCCGGAATCTAACCCTGAACCAACTTTCTGCCGAACTATTGTGAAATCCCTCCTGGCTTAGTACAATAACTTATCCTTTATCCTCGTACCTCACATCTTCACTAATAAAACCTCTAATTTTTTTAGTTGGCTAATTCAGAGGTGTGCCATTTTTGATAAATTTAGTTAACCGTGTGACAGAATAGACAGAAGTAGCTTTATTTCATAAGGCATCCCTGCCGCCCTGATTAAGTTGATAGAACCAGCAACTTCGCTTAATATGACTGAAGTCAAACCCACCACACCAGCTTGGTTCTCATATATAAGAAGTGTGTTCATTTAGCTCTGCTTAGGATAAACAAATTAGAAAGGCTTACATAGTGACGAAAAGCAGTATCACCTGAAGTATTCATTGAATAATAACAGGAAAAAGTTATACTAACATATCCAAGTGTATTATGAATAGCCAGAATTGGTAGGGTTTACGCTTTGATACCACAGCGTGTCACGTTTAAATGACAAAGCAGAGGGTTATCTCAATCACTAAGGCCTAGCGGATGTAGGACGAAATTCTGTTTACCATAGGTCGGTCGATCGAGAGCACTGGGTCCATTAAAGAGCCTGGAGTAGAGGAAAATCTCGGCTGACTCGGCTGCTCAGAGGAGTCATCTGAGATTGATTCATTCTTAGAGGAATCATCTTGTCCATTACAAGGCTTGTTTGAAGAAGACTGAGAAAAAACATCTGATTCTGGGTTATAGAGGATAGAGGCGGCGGCCCCACGAAGGTCCTGTTAAAAATAAAAATAGATCAGATGATAAAATGAACTGACATATCTAGGGGGCAAGGCATCAAAAACACCAGGATAAAAAGTCAGGAAATAACTTAGGAATAATTCTACCGTAGTAGCTTGTAAAAAAGTCATGCATGATTGAGCGGCATGTTTATGGCATTTATAACTATTTTGTGCAGCTAATAACGCATCTGACCTAATATGCACATTTCAAAACGAGAATCATATCAAATGTATGAGGTTTCAAAAATCCTTTAATGAAAGGCATTCCATGTTGTCTGGCTTTGGAAAGACCAGAATTTAATTAGTGCGACATGTATACATCTAGCTTGCATACAACTTAGCCTCCCATCCAGCTAAAGAATCCAGACTTTGTGGGCCTACTCAGTGAGGCGGGAGTATACGTGCAATGAAAGGCTTGAGATGGAGTGTGGGAAATAACGTTTCAAGTAGCATAGACATGGTGGCCATGGCCGAGAGAAATTCCAGAACCAGGAAGATAAGGGTCAGATCCTATGACGCAAGAGGGAGACTCTGATAGGACATATGGAAAGAGGATTGCAGAATAAAATGGCAGACTCCGATCAATATTTCCAGTACAAGGGTGGGGGTTAGAAAGCTAGTCGGGGGGTGAAGAGGTCTGAATAAATAAATTCAGACACAGCATATCACATCTAAATAAGCAATTAAGAAATTGCGATATTGATTGAGTAATACGATGATATAGGAGGATATAGGAGAGGTGAATATCTCAGGACAAGAGAGATATTACAACTAATATGAGAGGTATTCACCCAATTTCGTTTAAGGTGATGAAGGACTTGTAGAATAAGAATTTTCCCACAATGATATAAGTAGAGTTAGCGTTTTAATTGAATTTAACATAGCCTTGCTTTCCCAAAAGTTGTTCTCCTCCAGGGTAAACTGGAGTTTCGACCTTCACCTTAAACGAAATTGGGTGAATACATTTCATATTACTGATTTACTGGTAGTCACGAAAACAATACTTAAGTGGAAAAATAAAGTATAGTAGTCGATTGTTATAGCAGATATAGGTTCGACAATTTCACCAAAAGAATATTATTTGGCAAAAAGGCCTGGCCTTCCTTGAAAATGGACATTTGCCCTATGACCCAAAAG